AGGCCCCCACTCACCCCACAGGCCCCCACTCACCCCCACAGGCCCCCACTCACTCACACAACCTCCCACTCATCCCTAAAGGGCCCCCTCTAACGGTCTCTCCCGTCTCAGGGTCCTCCTGGCCGCCTGGGTCCAGAAGGCAGAGAAGGGGAGAAAGGTGCTAAGGTGAGTGCCCCCTGCCCAGGGAGGGGTCCCTGCCCTGACCCCTCAGCCAGCAGTTGGGCCATCAGAATGGGGAGGGGCCCGGTGACCGCCACAGGTGCCCCCGTTCCCTCCCCTCCCTGAGGATTCTTGGTTAGCGGTCAGGAGGAAGGTGCACCCTGACTCTCTGCCCCTTCTCTTGCCCCGTCCACTTTAGGGGGAGCCAGGTCCTGATGGGCCCGTAGGGAGGACAGGCCCCGTGGGGGCTCGAGGGCCCCCTGGACATGTTGGGCCTGAGGGTCTTCGAGGGATCCCTGGCCCTGTGGTGAGTGGGGCGGGAACAGGGGTGGGTGGGGGTGGGATCAGACCCCCCTGTGTGCGCACACTTTTAATTTCTCATCACAGTTGGGAGGGGCTGGCCCTGGGTGGGGGAGGGCATCCACACTGGGTTCTGGCAGGGAGCAGTTCCCCATTTCTGTTTCATCCCAGGGTGAACCAGGCCTCCTGGGACCTCCTGGACAGACAGGCCCTCCTGGTCCCCTGGTAAGAGACTTCTGTGTCCCTGAGGCTCTGGCACAAGAACCACTCAGTGACCATTGAATGACCATGGGTGCTGATGACCCCTCCCTGACTAGCTGCAGGTCTCCCCTGACCATGTATACGATCTATCCTGACCACGTACCTTGATGGTCTACACTGGCCACAGTGCCCCTCCGTCTTTACAGGCCAGCGTGACCATCAGTCTTGATGGTCTACACTGGCCACCACGCTGATCTCCACCACTGAGCACCCATATTGGCCATCCTCCAGCCAAACCCTTCATTACCCCCTGTCACCCCTCCTCCCTCCCGACCAGCCCCATGAGCACATCCCTGGTAATTCCCTGTGAAGTCTGGGAAATTTCCCATTTGACCACCCGCCATCATCCGCATGGATCTTAAGATTTTATGTTTGAGTCTCAGCAACTGATTCTCCTTCTCCTTCCAGGGGCCCTCTGGCCTCCCAGGGCTGAAGGGAGATGCTGGCCTCAAGGGGGAAAAGGTAAGAATACCTCCTTCCATTACCCCCTCCCTCATTTACCTCCATTTCCATGGGGTCGCCTCCGTTCCCCAAATGCATTACCCCAAGGCTCTAGGAGAAAAACCTCCCGGCACCCCCTTTTCTCCCCTCCCCACACACCTCCTGTGTCCTCAGGGCCACATCGGATTGATTGGCCTCATCGGCCCCCCTGGGGAGGCTGGTGAGAAAGGGGACCAGGGGCTGCCAGGCGTGCAGGGCCCTCCTGGCCCCAAGGGAGAACCGGTGAGTGTATGTCCCGCCCCAAGTGGGAAGAATGTGTTTGAAGGAGGGGACGGTTGGGGGGCGAGATGGGCTTGTCTGTAGGCTGTGGGGGTGAGGGAAGCCTGGGTCTGGGATGCTAGGGGTTGTGTCTGAGGAAAACGGGGGCCCTATCTGGGAACTTGAAGGCTGGAGGCTGTGTCTTGAGGGAACTGGAGGCTGTTCTGGGTCACGGAGAGGAACCCTGTCAGTGATGACCCTGATGTCCTTTCTCCAGGGTCTCCCGGGCCCCAGTGGCTCTCTGGGCCCCCCTGGGCCCCCAGGCGTGGCAGTGAGTATGCAGGGTCTGTGAGGTGGGGGTCACCACGGCGAGCCAGCCAGGACTCCATCTCTCTCTGTCTCTCCCCCACAGGGCCCTCTGGGACAGAAGGGCTCAAAGGGGGGGCCGGTAAGTACTCCCTCTCCCTGGGCTCCCCTATTTCAGTTCCCCACCCCTCCAGCGCACCAGAACCCTCAATTCCTTTGCATTCATTCATTTGTCTAGTCATCCAGTCACACATTCAACACCCACCATGGTACTTCATCAAATCTAAGCTGCCATCAGTTGTAAGATACACCATTATTTTATAAACGGCTATAGACGAAAATAATTCTGCCAAAGAACTGTGACTTGCCAGAGAGGTTAAGATGCTGATTTCAGAGACGTTAAAACATGGAAGGAAAATGCGTGCTTTATTCTTGGTGCTGGAAGTTGCATGTCCCTGCCCCAGGGCTGTGTGTGTGTGTGTGTGTGTGTGTGTGTGTGTGTATGTGTTGGCAGGAAGGTGTCTCCATAGACAGAGTTTACTCCCAAGTGACTTCTCCCTGCAGGGATCTCTCGGCCCCCGTGGAGACACTGGCCCTCCAGGCCCCCCGGGCCCCCCGGTAAGTTCCCCAGGGATGAGGGTTGGAGTGTACCCACTGGTTCTCCCAGTGCTCAGGACCAGGTGGGGCACCCAGATGTTCAGGGGAGGCAGGGGACCCACCAGATGTTCAGGGAGGCAGGGGACCCACCAGATGTTTCAGGGAGGCAGGGCACCCACCAGATGTTCAGGGAGGCAGGTGCTCTGAAAGCTGAAGAGGGATCTGGCTGTGTGTGTGGAGAGATCAGGGGGGTATCCATGGAACGCTGACTGCGTCTTCTCTCCAATCCATCCTCCCTCCCTGTCTCTCTCCCCAACTCTTCTGTCTCTCCTGGCCTTTCTCTGTCTTTGTCTCAAATACTTGTTTCTCTCTCTCTCTCTGCCTCTCTCTCTCCCTCTCTCTCTCCCTCTCTCTCATCTCTCCCAACTCTGCGTTTTCTGTCTTGTCCCGCCTGTGGGTCTCTGTCTCCACCTCCCCCTGTCCCTGCTCTGTCTGACTCTCCTCTGACTCTCTCCCTCACCTTTCTCCTCCCTCCCGCCCTTGTCTCTCTGCCTCCCGCGTCTCTCCCGGTCTCTCCCTCCCTGGTCTCTGCTCTCCCTCCCCACCTCTGCTCAGGGT